GGGGATGCTGCCCCGGGGGCAGGCGGGCTCCGCGTCCCTCCCGAAGTCCTCAAGCGCCCGAGTGTGAAAGGGCAGGCTTTTGGGTCACCCTCGGCCACCTCCAGAACATCAGTGACGATTTGAGCTCCTTGCATTACCGTGACCAAGGGACAAGAGTGCTGTCAGCCAGACCGAGAGCAGACTCGCACCGACCCGCAATTCCAAAACGCACAAGCCACGTTGAGGACAAGAGCAGCCTGGCTTGGTAAGGAAGAGCCTGCTCCAGGGGTCCTTCGTACTAGCCTCCATTCCTTCTGTGACTGAGGCATCAACGCTTCTGGTTTGTTTGGGTGGTGTGGTTTTTGTTTCTTGTTTGTTTGGGTTTTTTTAGGAGGAAGGCAGTAATTTCCTACCTTTTAAAGTACCCTAAACAATAACAGAGGTAAGCATATGTTTCCTATAAACCCAAGATTACTACCACTCAAAAATTTTGTCTAAAAAGTCATGGCATATAATTTCTACAGACTTTACTTCAAAGTACTATTTTTATGTGGTACCAGAATTTTATCAAAAAATGGGTAGGATGTATGCAATCCACAGGGGCAGAGATCTCCAGATCTATAGTTTCGCACTGTCATAAAAGGGTATTATACGATGAGGATGCATCAACTGTGAACTTTAGGAATACTCACGCACAGCAAACAAGGACAGGATACGAAGGAGCAAAAGATACCAATGAAAGAACACAGCGTGCGCGCTCCGTATGCGGATGAAGTGAATCCTTAAACGTTCGGGAGAGAAAACCACATAAGCAAGCACATGATGTAGCAGACCTGAGTGCATATAAAGGCACACCAGTGCATGGAACTTTTGGACGTCAGTTCTTGAACCCGTTCTGGTCTGGTGATATAATACTAAGTGTTAACTGATGAGTGTTAACTTTGTTATTTACCACAGCACATAAATAAAGAAAATCTGAATGACTAATACCATTCTAATTAAAGATTACAGCGAAGGCAATCGTGTACCAGAGCTGGGGGTTGATGGGCAAAACCAGCTCTGGAGCAAACAACTGCCTGGTCCTGACTGGCGGGATGGGACCTCCCCCGTGCCGGTTATGTCAGCAGCAGCAGCCGGGCAGGGGCAGCAACAGCCATCTCCAGGCTGACATCCATCCCTACCTGCGCACATACTGGTTCATCTTCAACGCAAACCGAAAACTAAAAGGAACTAAAAATTCACTCAAGGGTCCACCAGCACCCAAGGGCTGTGATGGGCAGAGGCTGGCACGACACCACGCATACTGACGAGCCCAAGAGCCTGCTGCAGGGTCAGGACCACCTGGTCCCCTACCGCCAGCAGGAAGGATGCCTCGCTGGCAATTTATTGTTGCTAATCCGTTAAAAGGTGTGGCTTGGTTGGCAGCTTAGCTGCGAAATCATGCAGTCATCCTTCACGCAGCTTCCCCAAAAGATGTCGCTATTTTGTGCAACGTACACTGAGATTTAGCAGGAACGTACTGCAATTCATCTCTTTAGCCCGCACCCTGAATACTGAAAGACAGGTTTTTTCCCCTTCCTGACACTGCAGCTCACATCTTTTTAAATCCATTCCTTCTTCTATTTGTGCATTAGCAGAAAAAAAAAAAATCCAAAACAACTGGGGTTTAGACTGCAGGTAATCAAGCACATCCAACCTGTGCTAAAAAGAACCTCCTGTAATACAGTATCAGCCAAACATTAAGGATTTAACTTTGCTCCTGAATAACTGAGAAGCGCTTAGTGGCAAAAAACTAGAAATGAGAACATCTTATTGAAGCTAGGCAAAGTATTAGAGTATTTCACTCCAGTCCATTATCAGTTTAAGTGAGAATGAACAGTTTGTCTAAATGCTAACACAAAGAAGCTTTAAAGTCACTCCTGCAAATCTAATAACCAAATTCGGATATAATCATATACATATCCCACTTTTTAATCTATTTTTGTATTTATTCAAGTGTTATGTTGAAGTTTTCAGCCCTCTACAGCAGAGTCCTAAATAAAAAAATAGTTTAGGCACCTTTAAAACTAATTTATTTCACAAATCTCATTTATACATTAGTCATAAGTTCTTTTAGTAAAAAGTATTTAAGTATGAAAGTAAAAAAGTCATTTAAAATATAGCTTTTTAATAAAATCCAACAGGCTTTAAACAGACCTTTCACATATTCTCATTAAGCTTCTTCCATAAGGCACATGTATAGACATTTCGAAGGAGCATATAACTTACCAAATCTTTACAGTGTTTATAAAACTCTGTCTTTGGAAAAGCACACAATGAATAATATACAAACATAAATGGCACATTGCAAATTTTAGACATAACTGGAAATGAAATCTTTATGCATACTACCCAGATCTTAGTGGCCTGCCTCCACTGGGGAATAAACTGTGTGACTGGATGCAAGGTAGTTTTAAGACTACTCTGCCCAAGGTATTTAAATGTACTTTTTTGTTAAAAAAAAAAAAAAGCCTAAAAGTTCCAGGGTAAACACAAACAGTTCACCCAATTTATTTTTAAAACTGTTTCTAGTAAAAATTATTCAATCCCCCAAATGCAAAAGGCAAGGAAAATACTAAATTGTTACTGGGTATTTCAAGAGTGGAAAAGTATGGTTTTCCGAGCAAAATTCACAGAGGAATAAAAGTTAGCTTAAAGCATACAGTGGTTCCTGGTTTTAATTTACCCTAGACAGGACGAGAAGCATTTAATCACAGCATCCCTTTAAAAAGAAAAAAAAAAAAAGATCAGTTAAGATATTTGCTGTTTCTTTACATCCATACCAACCATTACATATTAAACTTAAAAATATTACAGAAACTAAAGACAAAAATCAACAGTTTATCAAATGCAGGATCTCAACAGCCATCGTTACATTGATTACATCTACAGCACCAGCTACTACAGCAAAGGCTCGAGCCCATTCTGAAGCTCAGCTCTGCCTGTATGGTCTGTCTTCCACGCTGTTTACACTCAAGCACATGCTAAAATGCAGACACAGTGTTAGAAATTTTTCTGCAGCACGCTCGGTGGCTTCGCAAAGGTCACAGCCTTGTTTCACAAAGGCTGGCCAGCAAGGGCAGGGCTGAGGAGCGTGCCAAAGCCAGACAACCAGCAAAGCGCGGGTGCTTTGAGTCCAAGCCACACTGGAGTTGGACCATCACGTTGCAGGGAAAAAAAGCACAGGCTGAAGCGTTTACAGTGCACGTCCTAAGAGTGCAGGATGAAGAGCTGGCTCAGCCTTGGGGTTTGAAAGATCTGAAGGGGTCTATTTCTTTAACCCATAATAAACAAACTGTTTTCTGACTCTTCTACTTAGATCAGTCTCCTTTCTTTTTCATTTTCTCAAAAATGTAACAACTTGTTAAGGAGTGGAATTTGTATGCTGTAGTTAGTTTGAAAAATGAAGAAAAATACCAACTGTATGTATGTATTTTGTTGTTGTTTTGGGGTTTGTTTTTTTTGTTTAGGTTGTTTTTTTTTTTGCCATGCCAGCAGGAGAGTCATCATTAATTGAAAAAGAAAAAACACAACCATCAACAAGTAAACTGTTGTTAAGAGTAAACCATTAACAGAGCTAAATCAAGTAATGACAATTTTGTTGAAATCAAGATAAATGCATACTTTAAACAAGTTACATAATACTGTTCACTGTCACTTAACACAGTTTAGATCACTATTTCTGTAAGAAAGGCAGCCTATACAATGAATTTATGATATCATTCCACATAAGCAAATAACTCAATAATGCCTAAAGAAAACACTGTACTACTAAAAGCAGCCTGTGTAAAATTCAGTTCTTTGACTCATAAAATCTAACAGACAAATAAAACCAAAGGAATTAAGTGATGCATATAACCTAATGTTTTTCTGACCAGAACTTAAAGCACTGTTGGTAGGGAACCAAAGACCAGTGACCAGTAGCTCAACTTGTCGTCTGTGCAGAGCAGAACATTTAAAAAAAAAGCAAAAGGAAATAAAAAAAATGGCCCTATGAGACTGCCACATGGCCACAGGAACTATGGGAATTCAGAATACTACTTTTGACTGGGTTAGCTTGAGATGTCAGAAATAGTAAGATGGCAATTTAAAGCCTGAGTTCAGTTAAAGTATTTAATCCATTGTAATTATCAACTACTATCTAAAAAAAAAAAAAAAATATATATATATATGGCTTAAATCCTCCCTAGGTCAAATCTGAAGCTTTAAAAAAAAATCCATAGTACAGTTTTTGGCAAAGCTACAGAAACACTACAGGAAGATAGCAGATGAAAGGCATAGACGATACTTTGTATTCTTTTTTTCCCCACTTTCACTACAGAAAACCTCACTAAGTAATACATAGACATGGAAGCATTTTTTAAAAAAACACACTGCTGAAAGACAAAACTGCATTTTATGTGAAACATTACAGAAAAAATAGATTCTTCAGTTTGTTTACTTGCATGTGGTTTCACTATGCATTTGGGTAGCTTTTGTTCCCTTTTTGTACACACAAGGGTGAAATGAAAGAGAAGCTTGCCAAAATGAACATTAACATGCAGCACTGCCTCTCCTAAAAATGATGGAGGAATTCAGAAGCAGACTTAGCAGCTGAAATTATGCTTATTTGTTTGCTTTTAACCAAGACCTCAGGTCTATGTTATCCTTAACATAAGTACTGGAAAGGTCACTATTGCATCAATGCATTTTTAAATCACGGGAGAATTTAAACCGAAATTCAATTTATTTTCAGTGATGAAAACTAGAATGAAATTTAACAAAGAGAATTACTCTGCACTTTACTTGTATTTAAAGCTTATATTAAGCATTACTTTGGGTTCAGCTATGTCTTTTTCTAAAAATTAAAAGGAAAGGGAGGAGGTTATGTTTTTTCACATACTGAATTTAAGGACTTTTTCCCCCTCCCCAGCATAAAGATAGCTGACTTTTGTTAAGATGGAAGTAATCATGCAGACTCACCTTGCAAAAGGAATATATGACAGACTATACCTGAAAAAAAAGAGGAAAAAGGTATATTTGACAGTGTTCATGTCTCTCCTAGAACTCAATTATTTCACTTCAGTCCAGCATTAATAAAAACAACCTGTTGTAACAAAACTTTAAACAAGATCATCTACTCAATGTAATGCTTACCTGAGAAAAGACGACATTCATGGACAAGAACTAAACATACTGCCAAAGATTTCCTGATGTACTTTTTTTTTTTAATATACTTTAACTTCTACAGCACATAAACTTAAAAAAGCAGATTTCAAAAGGAACGGAGATTTCTGGGAAAACTGTATTCTTCAAGATGACAGAGGCAACTTTTTCCAGTTTAAAAGACAACATATGTTACTATGCAAATATACATATACATCTAATCATATTATTTTTGTAACTCTAAATACAGATATATGCTGTAGTATGAATAATATTCCACAACTGTGACACTCAAACAGCTGATAATTCTATTATCCTCTGAAACTTGCTTCTCGCAAGCCTCCAGGCTATGTTTTGTTCTCATGGCCAGCCTGATCAAGCTCTAAGACACTCAACAAATGTGAAGCTGTCTGCTGTAAACATGTAGAACATAGTTAGCAATGTTCCCTCAATCTAGTATCAAGCATTTACCTCAGCCCTGCATGATGCCCAACAGTCCCTATCCTGAACAAATGGTTATTTGTCCTCAGATCCAAGTTCAGTATAGACACTGTGCATTCAGGGCAAGTTCAAACAAGAACTGTGGTCACCCTGGATCACCCAAGAGTTAGTACCAAATAATTCACTTGGGACAAGCAGACTGAGTATGTTCAGTTGTATCACCATGGAGAAATCAGTAACTTCCAAAACTTCCGCCAGGCTTGCAAGCAGTCACCTAACTGTGCTCACACATTCCCCAGCCCAGCCCTTAAGCACATCTGGATGGTCATCATAGTACCCGCCGCACTACATTCACTCTTTCACATCCGCCTACTCTTTACCCAGTGCCGCTGAATACTGTCGGGGCAGGACACACCCTGTGAAAGTGTTTAGTTTCTTCTACTTCAAAAATGAAAGCTTAGTTAAACTCAAAAAAAAAAAAAAGGGAGATAATCAAAAGAAGGGCCTATGAATATAGTTAGTTTCACAACAGAGAAAAGGCATGAAGGTTTTTTTTGCATATATATATATTCCTTTCATAATGCCTCAAATAAGTTCACACATTGCAGAATATACTTAAAATTATCATTTTTGCAAGACGACTGCATATAGATTTTGCTGAAGTTACACAGCCTAGCTTAGAAAAACAGATTGAGGCTAGCATTTGGGCACACTTACGTTATGCGAAGCATATATATATATAGGTTTATAATCATGCGGGTGTAGGGGCATGGAGAACAAATTAAAATGAATTTTAAGAATCTTACCAGGTCATTGCCAAGAACTGCAATATGCAGAATAACATCGCCAAACCTTTTTTGTTCCACTAAGTAAAAATAAAGCAAATATCTCAAGTTAGTTCATTTTGCACGGGTCTATACTGCAAACTATTGTAACAGCCTATTCAGCCAAAAATTTAGTTAACTGATGATGCCTGAATTTCCTTGTCTTAACTTAATTTGCTACTCCTTTCCACTCTAACAATTTTCCATTCATTTTATCCATCAATCCATCGCATCATGCTATGAAAACCTTCTCTAGCTTTGAAAACACTTGATGGCATCAATGCTAACACCTTCACTTTCATTCATGATACTGTACTTCTGCAAATATTCAAGTTCACTTCAGCTACATATTTCCTTCTACGGAACATAACTACAGCCAATTTTTCCATCAAGATGCCTGAAGGTACTTGTTCTGTGTCTCTGCCTTAATCAGTTTAATATTCTGTACCTGTGGTTTCTAAAGACCACTACGTATTCTCTGATATTCTCTGACATAAGTACACATCACTAAGATGAAAGTATATTTTAACTTGCTTTTCTTAGTACTTATTCCAGAGGTCTGCAGACTGAACCTGATACTCTAGATTTTGTAGTCTCATCTGCATCACATGCAGGCAGAAGGGTGCATTTGCTTTGTAGCCAGCAGGCCCATCACTCCACCTAAACTGAACTGCAGTTGAAAACACAAATACCACACACACAAGCTCATCTTTCCTCTATAACTGAACTGTTTGTTAAAGCTGTAATACAATTAATAAGCTAACCAAGCTAGATTGCTCTTTAGAGGAACAAAGTATTCTCACTTACCCAGAATACAGCACACAGAGTCAATACTAGGAAAAGCTGGGGGGGTGGAGATGAAAGGAGAGACAAAAAAAAAAAAAAAAAGAGTGAATACTCAAATACACAACAAAGCAAATACAGTAACTGTTGTCATGTTTTCAATGGTGTCGTGGTTTAACCCCAGCCAGCAACTAAGCACCACACAGCTGCTCACTTGCTCCCCCCCGGTGGGATGGGGGAGAGAATCGGAAGGGTAAAAGTGAGAAAACTCCTGGGCAAAAGCCGCGCGCACAAGCAAAGCAAAGCAAGGAATTCATTCCCTACTTCCCATGGGCAGGCAGGTGTTCAGCCACCCTCAGGAAAGCAGGGCTCCATCACGCGTAACGGTTACTTGGGAATACAAACGCCATCACTCCAAATGTCCCCCCCTTCCTTCTTCTTCCCCCAGCTTATATACTGAGCATGATGTCATATGGTATGGAATAGCCCTTTGGCCAGTCTGGGTCAGCTGTCCTAGCCATGCTCCCTCCCAGCTTCTTATGCACCTGGCAGAGCACAAGAAGCTGAAAAGTCCTTGACCAGTGTAAACTCTGCTCAGCAAGAACCAAAACATCAGTGTGTTATCAACATTATTCTCATCCTAAATCCAAAGCACAGCACTTCACCATACCAGCTACTAAGAAGAAAATTAACTCTATCCCAGCTGAAACCAGGACAAATGGGTAATCACCATTTTCAGAACTGACTCATGAAACAAGCAGAGCCAAAAGCTGTCACACAGCAACTATATGCTGAACTCCATGTAAAGCGGTGTTTGCAAAGCACAGTATGATGTGCTCCATGGTCAGAAGGGCTGGGACAAGTCTCAGAAGAAAGAGGAAACAGGAACTGACTTCAGGAATCAGGAGGAGTATAACCAGGTCTGTGTAGCCTTAGGCGTTAGGTTTATTAAGAGGTGGGCTTAGATGATAAAGCTTGCTTGAAAGCAACCACATAGTCTGGGAACTGCTATTCTATTATTTCAGTACATAGTATCATTTTGGATCTAGTATTCATAACATCAACATCTGACAAGAAAGGTATGTGCATCGCTGTGAACAACCCATTATTAAAAACATGCATTCACAATTACGGTATTTGGCAAATATAGGCTCTGCTTCTTCTGCCAGGGTTTTTTCATCTTCTGACAGTAATGAAGAGCCCACTAGGGAGCAGCTGCTTCATACACAGTGAAAAAGCTCACATAAAGCTTTATTCAAGCTACTTATACGCCTTTGATGGAACATTACAATGATATGGCTTACTATGCCAAATTAATCACACCATTTGTGCAAGCATCACTTTTTCCACTAAATCTCACCTAGCTCCCTCCATTTGTCATTACACATAGTAGAAAACAGAACGAAACTCTAAATTTTCACTGAAAAAAAAATCGTTGGCGTTTCATTGAAAGAAATAAAAATAACAGACTCTCTTGAAATTTTCCAAACATATTTGTGACTCCTGAGTTGCCTACAATTCTAGCTTTGTGTTAGGATGGGGAAGAAAACAGTAAAATCCATCAAAAGTTTTCTAAACTTTAGAATTTTACTAGTTCTTCTCTGTATTACTGAAATTTTCCATCCTAAGTGTCTTAGCGCTCATCTAATGTTCCTGTTCCCTGTTAGGTGAAAACTTTCATTCTGCCTTTTCCTAACCTTGTTGGTAGCTTCTCTTCACAGGTAGGTAGGTAGGTCTGTCTATGATGTTTTTTCTACTCTGTTCTCTTTTCATTTCCCTGATGTGTTTTGTTTCTACAGCCTTCAAAGCAAGTTATTTTCTTTGTCACCACATCTGAGTGCAGTGGATGATAGGATAACAGAGCAAATAATTTTTGTGCTGGCTGCTTTAGTGCCTGGCTTAGGTCCTCAACTTGACCAGAAAAAGCCTGCAGCTGTAAAGTGTTGGAGAATTCATGCTCAGCAAACAGAGACTCTAGAGAATTGGAGACATTCTTGGACATTTTTACTGCAGACCTATGAAACATAACTTCCCTAGGACTTGTAACTTGGTATGGTTTGGAAGAGATGGCAAAAAGTCACCTCTAACAAAGCTCAGAGTCCAAGCAAGGATCAAGTCACTTCTCCAAAAGATGTGGGCAAACGTGAGCTTCTCAAATGAGATAACTTTTTTTTTTTCATGCGAGTGTGTGAGAGAAAGAATACACAACCCATATGACAGCCATCCAGAAAGAATTCATGAAGGGTTTCTTACCCACATCAGCTGTAACCAACTGGGAAAGAAAGCTATGAGAGGGAGAAAAGGACAGCCAACTACATTTCAAAAATAAAAGTTGAAACAAATCAGGAGGAACAAGGAAAATAAGTACAAAACAGAGAAGCAGCGAGGGCAGAAACTTGTTTTTAACTACCTAATATAGAGTTTTGGGATAGGAATTTTGAGACTGGGGACAGGGCTGTTTTTACCATCCTCCCAGAAGAAGAAATGACAGTAATGGAAGTAAAGGAGCCAAGGTCCTCACAATGGAGGAGTGTGAAGCCGAACATGTGGCTTCCCAGGGGAGAGAAATTAATTTTCTCCATCGCTTTGAAAGCGCTGAACCACTAAGCTATATAAACAGAACTGCAGCCAACAATCAACTGCCAAGCTAAACTTGGTGACCACTGACTTTTCACAGTAGCTGAAAAGTCTCTCTCTAGCCTGGTTCTCAAAAAAATTGTTTTAGAAAACAAATTAAAAATAATCAACTTAATATTAGCATTTAGTAATAAATATTAAGTAAAGAACATTTTACTCCAAATGATTAATTAAAAAAAAATCATAAGCAACAAAACCACAAGCTCATAGAAAGAAGTTAGATAATCTTTGTGATATACAGAGCTAATCAGCGTGACTATTATTACTCAGTACAAAGAAGGGTTGGATTGAGAAATAACCTCTTTAATAAAGCCTCAGATTTAGCTTTCAGGCTAAAGGAAAACTTTTTAGCAAAAGGAAGTAAAGACAGTATATTTACCAACATCACAACTGTAGCTACTAATCTTTTTGGCTCAAACATTGCTTTCAGTTGCTTCATTGGCCCCATCAGGAAACACGTACTAATAGGAAGGAAAAAACAAAACAAATGGTAAATCACTTCCAAATAAATCTTTGCAAAAGACAATAGGTAATTAAACAGTTTTCCAACAGTTAGATGAGTACAAAGGCTTTAAAAAAGGCATTTCAGTGTTTAGCAACAGAAACCTGCTAGAATGAAAGGTAAAATACTCCATGAATTTAGTTCTGGAAACAGCTTATGTATTGAGTCACCCTTGGTCATGAAATTCTTTCCAAAACATTACCACTTATAGCAGAGGGTTGTCAAGTTGAAGCCTAGTGAATTTCATGTTCAGGCTGTTCTTAAGAACTGACTTGCCAAAAGAATGCAAAGAATACCAAGACCAAACTTCTGTAGAAAATTTCTGTTTAGCAATAAACTTTTTACCCAGGCAGCTCGCAAGTAACTACAATCAGTATTACAGGGAAGCTCTAACCCTTTGCCAAAACTCAGCAAGCAAAAAAAGGGGAAACTTCAGTAGTTTGTATTAAATCCTGCTGCTTTCTTCTACTCTGTAGTTAACTTGAAGGGAGAATGAAAACCATCAGCAATGCTAAGCTGTACCTGTTCCTGCAAAGAAATGCAATGTGAACCAAGAATTCACAACCACAGGAGTAATTATCTGGCTTCAAATATTCTGAGGAGCCTCTTCCTTCCCTGTCATTGAAGCCATTCTACTTTGTAGAAAACATTTAGTGAGAGAGTGAGAATGCCTGTAACCATGTGGTGGTCTGAGTACTTTACTACAGAGTAGGAAATCTAGTTTAACTCCTTTTCTACTTAATATTTATTTACATGAAATGAAACAATCAGTAGCAGGGAAGAGTTTGGTAGAGCTCCCTCGTGAAATCAGTCATAAGCCTGGTGAAACATGCATCTTCTAAGACAAAAGAAATATGGGAATCCATGTCCCAAGAAGTAAACTGAACCTATGACCTCCCACAGCCAGATGTTCTCCTACCAGCAACTTTGTGTACATATCCCCTTCTCTTCACTTTGTTTTTCTGAAGTTGCATAGACAGACCTCAAAAGTCCATATTAAATGGAAAAAAATGTTTTCTCGATTCAAAAGAAAAAATATTTTAAATTAACTGGAATCCAAACTAACTTTTTCTCAGTATTTTTTTAATCTTGGCTGCTGGGCCATAAAAATTAAGACCAAAAAAAGAGACCTGAAGAACTAGAACAAAAATTAGTTAGCTAGTGGAAGGATAGGGATGATGAAAACATGGTAGTAAAAATGAGGGAGGTTCAGGCCACATAAAATAGGCAGAAAAAATATAGAAAGCAAAAATGCATCGATGCCAGCCCAATTAGCATTGAAGGACAGATATCACAAGAGCTTCTCCAGAGATGTGAGAGAATCCATAGGGAGCAGAAAGGCTGGAAAAATCTAGAGGTCCTCCACTTACTCAGAATGTTTCTTATACATAGCACTTTCTGTAGAAGACACACTCATCATCACAGAGAAGAATTAAGTAAGTATCATTGTTTTCATGTTTGTGGCTAGAAAATCATAGTAAAAAACAGGCTAGACAGGACTATTTAGTAAGAGTGGTAACTGCATTTGTTTTAAATACAGACTTGCAAACAAGCCTGAAAAAGTTTAAATTTCCTTATCAGTTTGGGACTTCATTGTCATTTCCTACTGTTCTTAAAACACAGTTGTCTGTTGTTTATATGTAAAAGGACTACTGAAGGGGAAGGGGGCCATTTTAAATTCTAATTTTAGTTGGAGTCCAGACTAAAGTTTTTCAGCATTCTCCTAAGAGAAATACTGTCTGTAAAAGCTTTCCTCTTAGTTCACTGACAATTAGACTTGATTAGTTTCTAAAGTGCTAATTTAACCTGAAGCAGTGAAAACACACACAAAATACTAGGTAAGAAAAAAATAACCAAAAAACCGAACAACAAAGAGTAAAGAATAAGGTAAGGAAGAGAAAGGAAAATACTCCATTTTCCCTACCTCCAGTATTAACTTTTTGTCTTGTTTTAGTATGAGGTGGAACAGTTATACAAATGAGACTCAATTCCAGTATAAACATTTTTGTCCCCTAACAGATTTGTTGAGGAAAAGCAGCACACCATCACATTTCTCAAATGTTAATGTCACATTGCTGAGTTTTAACAGATTAACAATGCTTTGACTCAAGAGTTTAGTGACTTGACTGAAGTCAGAGTCCATGAAAGTTAAGACCAGACCTACTGACATTAAGTTGTTTCTTACATGTCTTTCAAACAGTAAAAGAAGAGTTTTAGATCCTAGGAGGTCCCTTCTGCAAATCTTCTGCAAATAAGACAAACTGCTATGGGGAACACTGCAAAGAACCAATTACAGAGTTTAAAAATACACTGTGAATGATTTTTAGATTCTGCCTGGCCCTAGAGTCAAAATGAGGATTTCCTGAACCTCTCCTTTTTCAAACGAACAGAAAGATCTCTCTGTTAAAAGCAAAAAGCTCTTTCCAGTAACAAAGCATCCCCACAGTGGGCAGACTACCAGTTTGCCCCTGAAACTGAGGTAGCTCTGTACCCGGCAGAAGGACTTAAAAATTTGTTATTCATAGTTCAGATACCAGTTGTGATGTGTCCACAAAACAATCACAGAAGACATCACAACGGGGCAATAACAAGTGAATAACAAGTGAATAACTGATATTCACTAATTATGACAATCTTAAAACTGTAAGACAAACAAGATTTTATGTTATTAGCATTTCAATATGAAAACAATGTTGTTTATATGCAACATAAACAGACACCATTTTAAAGTAAAAGCAAATGGAAATGTATATGGAAAAGAAGGTACTTTTCTAATAACAATAATTAAGAAATTGTACCTGGCTAATGCAGCAATATTTCCCAGGGTGTAAAACACTGCAAAAAGTTTGATTCCCTTTGGGAGCCATAGCAATGCTGTTCCCTATAAAAGATAGATTATTTGTACGTTTGTAATTAGTTAATTAAATTTATTTAGATTTTATACTCCGTATTTTCAGACTATGAATCAGAGTGTCATTCTAACATATACCAGCAGAGTACACTGTTCTCAGATTTGTAGTAGTCAGTATTCAGCATACTTCTATTGCCACCTACTGGCAAAATAATGTATTGGTTTACTATATTTCACAATATTTTTACAACTAGGCAATACTTATTTATAACATTTATTTGTACTGTTTATATTCTGTTTATGACACTTTCAGTTTTGTTACCATGCCGCAGTATACATCATACATCTCTGCACACAGAGGGAAAAATGTCATAAAGCTACACTAATATCCACCATCATCTTTCTTCTTCAATCAACCACCTGGACTTGCAGTCTAGATACGCGCTGAGGCTGAACAGAAATATTTTAGAACTCTTACTTCCAGACACCTCTTATTTCCACTAAACACAAAAAAAAATTCAAAGCCTTCTGCTGATCACAGTACCTAGGATGATCAGGGAGAAATATAGCCTAAACAAGAAGGAAAATACAGGGTTTTTTGAGTCCTGCAAAACAAAACAAAAAAAGGCAACTATATTCTACCCAACTGCAATTTCAGTGGGAATCTGTGGTGTCAGTTTGCACAGACCACAGTACAAACAATCATGGAAAGCTGCAAGAGTGTAATTGTATTTTACAAGGAAAGCCTAGGGACACTTTGCAAAGACTAAAGAAAAAACACCACCTGCAATTTTGACCAGCCAAGAACATAATAAATATACCAGGTTGTGGACAAATGAGATCTAAAGATTAGGTACATGCCTGTAAGGGACAACCTGAGCATTTCTTTGAGGGCCTCCCTAATGCTGCAGCAAAAAGTCCATAATCTGAAGCAGAAGAAGGTGGAGTTGCCAGCTCTCAACTTCACGTGGCAAAGCTTAGCTAGAGAGCTGCCTCCAAGCTCTCCAGGATATGAGGTCCACAAACACACTAGCTGAGTTTTGACTCTTCTCTCTCAAGCTCAAGATAACTCAAGGAAACTAAGAAACCAAGATCCTAAAGCCTTTTATTTATTGTTTCATAGTTTCACACTATGTGATATAGAAGAGGCACAAAGATTAAACACTAAAAAAAAAGCAGCAAAAAGTGATGTTAACCTGTCCAGAAATAGGTGTTAAAGTACAAACATGGCATATACTAAAATTTGTGATTATATTGGTTAAATTCTACTTGCGGGAAAAAAAAAAAATGGAGAGGGGGAGGCAGTCAACCAAATCATGCTTACGCAACCCTAAAAAAGGAATATTCCAACCCAATCTTGAGCTCCCTCCCTAGAACTTGCCCGTGCTCTAACACAAGCATCTGGCCAGAGGTTGTGTCACTGTACTTGGCATAGATATCAATATGAATGATACCACTCTCCAGTTCCCTTAGTGAACTGATTACCACTTTAAGACCTCTCATAGGTAAGACCAGCAATTGTTCTAGTTTAGCTCTGTGTCTCAGGCAGTCTAACAAACCTCAAGTTTTGATAAAGAACCAGAAGCTTCCACCTGGAGGAGAATCCAGCAAGTGGCTGTCTCGAAGTGAGTGCCCCAATCAATCAATAGGTTGCTCCTCCACAGCTGCTTCTTTCTGTCATTACATAAGTCTCCTTGGTTAGAAAACTCTTCATGGCAAATGAAAGAGCAGCAGCAGTCATTTAAATAATGGCAAAACCAGAAACTAATGCACACAGGACTAGTTTCTCCATCCTACTACCAGAATGCATTATGAGTCAAGGCAATCTGCCTGACAGTCTCCACAAAAACTGCAAGTGTCATCCACACACATTAGCCAAAGGCTGCTGACTCCCTTACATCAAAAGTAACATTCTACTTCATAAGGAAAAAAAAAAAAAAAAAGAAAAAAGAAAAACAAAACCAGCAGTCTGGATACTTCCCCAATGTTATTTCACCTGCTTCTGTGACTTTTCATGCAGATGAAGAACTGGTTTGTACTGTTAGTTACTCATGTCAGATTTTGATAGACCCAATCAATTAACATATCTCAACTTTTAACTGCAGGCTTGAGTCTCCTGCCAACACCTCAAGTTCAAGAATGAACAAATGGTTTGCTGACTGCAAGATCAACAGGAGGGCAGCAGGTTTTTGAAGTGTCAACATGCTACCACAGTCATCATCTATGGATTTGTGAGTATGACGGGTTACACTTGTGGTTTCTTCAGCCTTTAAAAAGCCTTTCAAGCTTCCCCCTCCTTTTCCCCTTTAATTGGAGAGAATAAAAATAAGATGGGTACACACTGAACAATAGCAAAAGCTCTTTCCTAGTACACTACTCACAATCTAAATTAAAAATATAGCATATTTTGTCAGTGTTCAAACCTTTTAGTAAGAAATTTTATTACTCTACAATAAAAATGCTCTCTGCCGTGAATGGAAGAAAGATAGTCAAAATCATAATATACAGAACAGCCCCTAACATGCTAATTATACATTTAATGTCCAGTTAAATTTATGGATACAAAATTAAGGATGTAGGATAAAGCAAACACAGAATCACATATAAAGTACGAATATGAACAAGGTTCTACTGTAGAAGATTAATAAAGTAGGGGTGGGGGGAAAGGGAACTTTACTTACAAGAATAGAACACACAATGCCAGCAACAAAACATATGGCAAACCATCTGACTCGAGTACCAACGCTGAGTGTTGAGGCATCGAGGACCTTAACGGGAGGAGAGGGGGAAGGAGAAAAAAAAAAGAGTGTATTACAAACCCAGTTTTGAACAATCAAAAGGACATTTTTCTCTTTACTACTGAAGTCCTTAATTTCAAACAAAATTTTTTAGCCAGAAACAATTATTTTACCTTGCTTAACAGTTGCTTGCATATTAATTATTTCAGTTTAAGAAATTATATTAGCAATCTGGAAACATATTTCCAAAACAAACAAACAAAAGAGACAAAACCTGTGAAGGTATATCCTGGCACTCAAGCAATACTGCTCCACTTTCAAACAGACTTTCTTTTCACTGTACAATGACAATTGAAAATTATCACAATTGTACCAAAGCAGAAGAATGAATGCACCTTCTAGATAGGTTTATCTGCAAATTGCTATTTGTGCAGCACTGTATGTTCCTGTAGACATTACTACCTTTTCCTGCTACTAGACAGAACCCATTGTACATATTAGTACAAGTATCCACCACAAGCATTATGATTCCACTTCAATTACTGTTCCTTACAGGGTGAAGGTGTAGGCAGATTAACGCAGCTTGTGTCAACAGACAGATAACTTGCTGAAAGGTGTAATTTTATCTCCTGATTCTCCAGTGTGACTCCAGAACCTGTAAGACCCTTTAATGAGCTGAGCTAGCTGCCACAACTCACAAAGTGGGAAAAGAACTAGTGTTCCTTCTATTCTGATGACTTAGTTCTATGCTAGACTAATGAGTCAAACCAGCTCAGCAAGATGTCAGAAAAGCAGTGGGGCTGATATAAGGAAAGAGGCAGCGCCACATAGCTGGCAGAAGAACAGCCCCTTTCAGCAGAAGTGACTGGTAGATATGCTCCGTTGATTTTCTCCACCCATGCTGTAAGCTTACTCCAGGTCACTAAAATTAAATATACTTTCTATTTTAAACGGGTCTATCAAGTGAAGTGTTGCTTCAGCTTCTGTAAGATGACTACGAAAAGCTAACTTTCCTATTTGTTCAGATCACTCAAGCAAACTTGCCCTTTTGTTATCTAGTCTACAGATATTTTCAATCAAGTGTAATTAACCAAATATACAAGTTAGGGCTTCCCCAACCAATGAGTTTGATGTTTCTCCTACTCTTTTGAGAAATTTCTCTCTCAGGTAGTGGTAAGTGAATGAATGAAATTTGGTTACTGCTTAGAATGATTTCATATCTGTACAAATGAAGAATCCATACCTAGTTTAATGAAAAAGGGCCACATACAAGCACACATTTATATGCTGTGATGAATCAGCATCTGAATGTATGTCAACAAGGAATAGCTTGGACTACTTTCTACTTATAAAAAAATTACTAACCTTATTTAATAAAATTAAATACTTTGAATATTTACTTAAGAAGGAGGATCAGAATACTAAAAGTAATCTTTTACGCTTGCATACTGTGTGAGCACACACAGAGCTGGGATACAATATTGTTCTGAATTTTCTTCCCCCTTCTCCGTGTTCAGCAGTTAAGACAGAACTTCCCAAAGGTCAGAAGATGCAGCTTACCTTGTTAGGTCCAACTCTTTATCCTTATGTACGCATTAAAGAAATAGACAAAAACGGCAACTGAAAGATGGTTTAGTATTTGAAATGATATTTGATAGTCATATTCGTGAATGCCTATACATGTAAGAAGTACAGGAAGAGCTGGTAGGACATAAGTGAAAATACCCATTTGAATCATGCTTTTAGTTACACCTATTCATGCAACTAATCACGCGTACACAAAAAAAAAAGAGTAAAAATCCTTTCCATCCCTGCTCAGAAATGAAGTGTGGATGGGCCAACACTATCAGTACACCCAATGCACGCATTTCAGATTGCCTAGAAAACAGGAAAAGGATGAAGGTAAATCATTTCTTCAGGTGTATCAGGCACATTGCTGCCACTTACTGCTCTTCTACTTCTAGTCTTAATATCTGAAAGTGTTCCTGAAACAACTACCAGGAAATTTCATTTATCATATAAATTTGAAAATACCTTTATCTTCATTTAAATTCCTAACAGTTATTAGGTGGAAAAAATACCAACACCATAAAAAAGTAAACCACACAAAGGCTTGGAACAGAAAATGCCACAAGACTTAAAATACGATTTCAAAATTAGTTTAATACATTTTATGGATTTAATTCTTAAAAACTTAGATTGACAATACATGCACATGAACTGCAGGAAGATAAGCTGTGGCATGAGGGCTGCCAGAGCACCACAACACAGCATTCTCTGTAATAATAAAGCTAATTAAATTCATTGGCATTAAAATGAAGGCTGATCCTCCAACCATTCTTGATGCCATCACCATTTATGTTATCGAGCTGCACCTAGTTAATGCAGTGTTTGAAATCCTGAAACTGGAGATCTGGTAATGCATTTTCTTAGTCCCTGACACCGAATACTTTTTAGGTTTCATGGAAGCAATGGAACTGGTTACCTTTCCGAGATGCCTGTTTCACCCCTGTAGTGAAGCACCTTGCTGCAGGAGTAACAGGTACATAGTTCAACTACTTAAACAACAAACTTCAGCTTGTGCTAAAATGCCATGCTACAATCTGTAAAAGTCAAGGACCTGACACAGTGCCTGACTATTCTGCTGTTAAGTGCTGCAGGAGCAGTAATTTCTGTAAGAGGGGCTGTGAAACACCTTGAAGTAACAGCTTAGTTTCTTACACCTATGAACCTATGAGACTGTGAACCAGGACCCTAAGAAAAAGTTAGTAAGCCTGAACTGCCTCTGCAACAAAAGCAGGAAACAACAGAAGGGTGATTAGGACTTTCTTTATTGTCTGACATAAGCTGTACAGCTAATCCTAGATTTCAGATAAAAAGAGTTGGCATTACACTCTACGATATTTGCATTAGCAGAAGCTTTTACTTAGAAGACTGAAAAAATTGCCATGCAAAGTCCACAGCTGGGGAAAGATTCATATGGAGAACTGCACAGTGGTGGCAGCAAGGGAGTCCCTGTAAAACATACCCTTCTTGCTATACTGCTTATCAGCTTGTTTCTAAGTGATAAAAAGAAAAAAGAAACAAATCAACAAATAGAAACCCTTAGTTTTCTATAGCTAAGCTTTAATGTCAAACTCCTGGGCAAGAAGCAAAGACTTTTATTCACAGGATATTCCAAGAAAATATTACATCAAAAAAATGATGAAGACATCCAGAAATCAAGAGGAAACCCTCTGTGGAAACTGGAATCCGGAAGGCAGACTTCCTGAAACATAAGGAACAATCTTGCAATAGTCTAATACACAAGCTGCAAGCAACAGATAACAGCGTCTTTGCTGAATAGCTTGCTATGGACACCCAGTAAATCATATGAACGATAACCTGCAAGGATACCTTTGTTCAAAAACATTTCTTATGGTTTTGAACATCTACCTAGGCTCCCCCCATACGTTAATTATCTTATAAAAGTTTTCCATATGGGCAAGCAAAAAAATAGAAGCACTTTCCTTTATAGGTTTTAAGAAAGATTCTGGAAGCTAACAATTATATCTTTTCTTGATAGTAAATTCAAGAATATACGAGTAATGGAGAAAACTCAATTTCAAAGAAACATTGAGTACATTTGCAGAATTGAGTTCCTAAGCAATATTTAAAAAAATATTTAGAGAGAGATATTTTCATCTTTCCTCAATAGGTTTCCTTGTATGTATTTCTATCAACACTTTAGAGTAAAATATAAGAAATTTAAATATCTGGTCTATTTCTCCTTGCTAAAAATCTTGTTGAATGGTTTAAGCAGTTGTCAATTGACAACTATCATGAAACGACAGCCAGGAAACAAGCCAATGTGTCAAACGGACTGATTTTATTAGTTTTGCTGTTGATAAAACTAAACAGCATAATGCTGCCCTGTCAACATCATTACACTGCTATATTTACAATTCATTATTGATTTTTTTGTAATAAATTCCTTTAATTCCCTTTTAATATTTAGAGTAATTGCTCTAACTGCAGCATAAAGTGACAGCTGGTCATCTGAAGAATTTAGAAAGTACAGAAAGACTTCATTGAATCATCACACAACTGTCTCACTATATACTTTTCTTCTACTTTACTTAACAGGAATGACACTGACTTCATGGTAATGATTCTGCAAAAATCAAGAAGGAACAGAATACAGAGGCATCTGTGAACATAAACCATATGATGACTATTGCACAACTACCAGCTATTCTAAAGAGAAGGCCATTGTTTTTAATCAAATACATAACTCAGTTCCAGAAAGGTCATTTAAAACAGTTGAAGATTTTACACACAAAACGCATAACCTTATATTTTCTTTCACAACCTTACCGCTGAAAAAGTGTCCTTCTCTGTATGGGTGCACATACTTTTTTTCTCCATTACACACACTTTAAAAATAGTCAAAGCATTCAGCTGTAAAGCTATAGCTTTAGTGAATGTCACATATGAATTCCCTCACTAAAAAGAGGCTTGATTGCCAGTGTTCTAGAAATACATTGCTACTTTGAGAGAAACCTACAACAGAGACATTGCCTAACCTAAACACTTGAGTTTATCTTCAGCAGGTATTTATTTACTTTAAAGAAGATCTTTCTGGTTTATCTTCTCAGCATGAAGCTCCTTCGCACTATGCCAAAGGCATATTTATACACTTTCTTCTATCATGTACTAGACAGGCGTTAAATATGGGGAGATTTTTCCTGTTTAAAGCCTTCTCCGGCTCTAACATCTTTACATGCAATAGTAAAATCATATATATCTTAGTTACTGACATTTAACAAAAGGCACATTCTTAGCTCAGTTCTCTCCTTCTCAGGATATACACCTCAAATATAAAATTATTAAATCTTAGGCATTTATCTGTTGATTGCTGCCTTAAAACAAACATCACAGCATCAAATAAAGGAGAACTCTGTGTTACTATCATGTGTCTCATGTGAAATGTGCCTGGGGATGGCAAATTAATTCATTCTCTTGGAATTGAACTAAGATTAACAGCAACA